GTGGAACAAAACTCAAATTCATTTGGAAAAAAAATAGGGGGAGGGGACCAGGTTTGCTGGTCCAATAGAGCCTGGTGGAACCACTGAGACTATGGCCCCTAGCTGCCCTTCAGGTCTGGAATTGAACCCACACCTGTGGTTTCCAGCCAAACAAAAGACAGGCATATGAGTTGAACATTTACCTCAAGTAGATACACTCCTTGGAGAGAACAATCATGGGAGAAAGAAGGGCTGCTTATGCACAGGGAGACAGCTCAGGGGGCAGGAGTGCATGGAGGGATGGACACAGGGAAGAGGTAACTATCGGGAGGAAGTAGGAGGGGAGCTGTTGCATTGTGGTAAACTGTGGTCAATGTCACGAGACAAAGTATATGTGAACTGCTATATGGAAAGTGTATTTGCTCTGTAAACTTTCACTCAAATCACAATTTAAAAAAAAAGTTCTAATTTCTCAATATTTGATTCAAGCACAGGATCATTTGCTGAGTTGGGAGTTGCAGGCTGAGAGATGTTGGAAAGGGGAGGGGAGTGCTGCTGAGAGAGGCGGAAAATGAAGTCTGGGATCATTGGCCTCTGGGGCTCCGTGAGGAGTGGTGGGGTCTGCTGATAGTAAGTTAGCCTGGGGAGGGAGTGGAGAACAATGAGAGGTCTCAGAACTAGATTGCTACTGCCTCGTGGACCCCCTCCCCTGGACTCAGGCGGGAGGACAGGGGTCTCACGAGACAGGACATTGGTATTTTGTGACTCCTCCGCACACCTTAATCATTAAAACTGGGGATTTCACAGCCTGTCTCTGAAGGACCCAAGGACTGCCCATTGAGTGGCCAGGAAAGCACCATTCCTCTATCTGGACTGGATCTGCTCTTTGGGGGAGGGGGTGCTTTCCAGGAAAGAGAATCTTGGGTCCCAATCTAAGGACTGGGCAAGCTGGGAAAGCCCTCTCTACCCCCTTGTTCCCTGGGTTTCTGAGCCACAGGAAGGAGACTGTATGTGGAGTTCTTTTATCCCACCTCATTGCCTCTCTCCCCTCCACTCCTATATGCTGGGTGGGGGTAGGAACACCTGGGTTCTGGCAAACTTAAAAGCAAAACCCCAGAGTTCATGAGGGGGGAGATCATCTTGTGGGGGGAGGGCCCCTTCCTTAACATCTGTCTTAGTTATCTAGTTCTGTAACAAACATACCACAAGTGGGCGGCTTTAACAAACAGAAATTTATTTTCTCACAGTTTAGAAGGCTGAAAGTCTGAAATCAGGCCATCAGCTCTAGGCGAAGGCTTTTACTCTCTGTTGGCTCTCAGGGAAGGTCCTTATCTCTTCAGCTTCTATTCCTTGGCTCCTTGGTGATCTTAATGTGGTGTGGCATCTATCACCCTCTATCTCTGCTTCTTCAATTCCTTGCTTAATCTGCTCCTTTTAGATCTCAAAAGAGATCAATTTAAGACATATCCTAAACTCCCTTCAGGTCTGGAATTGAACCCATGCCTGTGGCTTCCAGCCAAACAAAAGACAGGCATATGAGCTGAACATTTACATTAGGCAGATACACTCCTTGGAGAGATCAATCGTGGGAGAATAGAAGGGCTGTGTATGCACGGAGACAACTGGGGGTGGGGGGCAGGAGTGTATGGGATGGAAGGACCCAGGGAAGAGGTGACTAGGAGGAGGAAATGGGAAGAGAGCTGTTGCATTGTGGGAAATGCAGTCAATGTCATGAGACAAAGTGTACGTGACCTGCTCTATGGAAAATGAATTTGCTCTGTAAACTTTCACCCAAATTAGAATAAAAATTAAAAAAAAGGAAGACATATCCTAAACTAACACTTCCTCATTACATAACAAAGAAAACCCATTCCCAAATGGAATTATAAATACAGGTATAGAACTCCCTGCCTTGGAGTCAATTCTGACTTGTAGTGACCCTATAGGACACAGTAGAATTGCCTCATAGGGTTTCCAAGACTGTAAATCCTTACGGAAGCAGACTGCATCATCTTTTTCCCATGGAGCATGCGGTGGGTTTGAACTGCCAACCTCTTGGTTGGCAGCCAAGTGCTTTAATCACTGAACCACCAGAGATCACTTAACTACCTAACCAAAAACCAAACTCACTGCCATCAACTCAGTTCTGACTCATAGAGACCTTTCGTTGGGTTTCCAAGGTAGTATCTCTACGGAAGTAGATTGCCTAGTCTTCCTTCCGAGGGGTGGCTGGTGGGTTTGAACTGCCAGCCTTCTGGTTAGCAGTCAAATGACTTAGGCACTACGTCACCAGAGCGCCTCACTTAACTATGTTGTTGTTGTTGTTATGTGCTGTCGTTGTTGTTGTTGTTGTTATTTGCCGTCGAGTCAGACCCTATTCATAGCGACCCCTCCTTGGGTTTCTGAGGCAGTATCACTACGGAAGTAGATTGCCCCATCTTCCTTCTGAGGAGTGGCTGGTGAGTTTGAACCGCCAGCCTTCTGGTTAGCAGTCAAGTGCCTTAGGCACTACACTACCAGGAGCTACCAGAAGGAAGGTTGGGCAATCTACTTCCGTAGTGATACTGCCTTGCAAACCCAAGGAGGGGTCGCCATGAGTTGGGTTTGACTCGATGGCACTTAACTATAGGTATAACCAAAAAACCAAACTCATGGCCATCAAGTTGATTCGAACTCATAGCAACCACCATTTGGTTTCCAAGGCTGTAAATCTTTATGGAAGCAGACCTCCCATTTTTCTTCTGTGGAGCAGGTGGTGGGTTTGAACCACTGACCTTCTGGTTAGCAGTCAAAGGCACTGTACCAGAACTCCTACATATACATATATAAACCAGAAGGCTGGCGGTTCAAACCCACCAGCCACTCCTCAGAAGGAAGGTTGGGCAATCTACTTCTGTAGTGATACTGGCTTGGAAACCCAAGGAGGGGTCGCTATGAGTCGGGTCCAACTTGACGACACATAACAACAACAACAAAGGGGCTCTGGTGGCATAGTTGGTAAGGCATTTGGCTGCTAACCAGAAGGTCAGTGGTTCAAATCCACCAGCTGCACCACGGAAGGATGATTAGGCATTCTACTATGGTAAAGACTGACAGCCCTGGAAACCCAATGAAGGTCTGTATGAGCCCATGGAACCAAATCCATGGCAGTGGAGAGAAAGAGAGATATTATTACAGATCTATACCATGGCAACAGGTTGGTTTTTTTTTTTTTTGGGGGGGCATGTTGCTGTGTAGCTAGAAGCTATGCCACCTGTATTTCAAATATCAGCAGGGTCGCCCATGGTGGGCAGTTTCAGTGGAGCTTGCAGACTAAGACAAACTAGGAAGGAGGACTGACTTAGTGATTGACTTCCTGAAAAATTATTCAGTGAAAACCTTATGATTAGCAGTGGAACACTGTTACAGTGTGGGAAAATGAGTCCCTCCATAGGGGACCGTTGCCTCCTCAAAGCAGAGTTAAGACCCTCAACGACATGGATTGACACAACGGCTGAAAACACGGGCTCAAGCATAGCAAAGATTGTGAGGATGTCACAAGACCAAGCATTGTTTCATTCTGTTGTACATAGGGTGGCTAAGAACTGATTGCATAACACCTAACAACAACAACAACAATACACACACATACACACACATATATATGAACAAACTCATTGCCATAGAGTTGATTCTGACTCTTATAGAATCTCCCATTGGGTTTCCAAGGCTGGAAATCTCTATGGAAGCAGACTGCTTCATCTTCCATGCTGGTGGGTTCAAACCGCCAATCTTTGGGTTAGCAGCCAAATGCCTTACCCACTACACCACCAGAGCTTCTTAACATACCACAATTTAAAAAATTATTAAAAAAAAAAATTGTGTATTTGGTGGGAGTGTCAACACAGACAATCTCTATGGAGAACAATTTGGCAATAACAATCAAAAGGAAAAATTTAACAAGCCCTTGAACAAGCTCGGAAAGAAGACTGGGCAATTTATTTCTGTAGAGATGCCTACCCTGAAACCCAAGGAGGGGTCGGTATGAGTCGAATTGACTTTGTATCAGTGAGTTTCTCTCTCTCATTTTTTTTGAACAAGCTATTCTATTTCTCCATATTTTTCCTAGTGCATGTTGTTGTCGTTGTTATGTTCCATCAAGTCGGACCCGACTCATAGCGACCCCTCCTTGGGTTTCCGAGGCAGTATCACTACGGAAGTAGATTGCCCCATCTTCCTTCCGAGGAGCGGCTGGTGGGTTTGAACCGCCAGCCTTCTGATTAGCAGTCAAGTGCCTTAGCCACTACGCTACCAGAGCTCCCTTCCTAGTGCATACATATACATTAAAAAAAGCATTACTAAGTTAAAAAAAAAGGGAGCTCTGGTGGTGTAGTGCCTAAGGCACTTGACTGCTAACCAGAAGGCTGGTGGTTCAAACCCAGGAGCCACTGTTGGGAAGGAAGGTTGGGCAATCTACTTCCGTAGTGATACTGCCTCGGAAACCCAAGGAGGGGTCGCTGTGAGTCGGGTGCAACTCCAAGGCACATAACAACAACAAAAAGTTAAAAAAAGGAAAAAAGTAGAGACCTTGCCCTCCGGCACGTCCCCCAACCAGGGTTCCACCTTCAGCCCGCCCCCCCGGACTTCGTCCCGACCTCTTGGCGGGCTCTCTGAGCCTCGTCCAGTTTCTAACCCCGCCCGCGGAGCCTCGTCCCCGCCTCTAGCCCCGCCCCCAGCATCTTCCCCGCCTCTAACCCCGCCTTCCGAGCCTCCTCCCGGCCTCTAACCCCATCCTCTGAGATTCGCCACTTGCGGGATCCTCCACGCTTGGTCTCAAACCCGGGCAGATACGCTCGGGGTGGGGTGGGGTGGGGGTGGGGTGGTCTAAACACATTCTCGCGAGAATAAAGGCGAGTCTCCTTGCAGGTGACGGGGGGCTATCCCGCGCTCCTTTCCGCCATTCCCTTACGTCTCCTGGGTGCCCTGAGGCGCGAGTCCCAGGTTCCTTTTAGCAGGAAGCGGAAGTGCGCTCCAGAGAGATTATGGCGTCTTTGGTCGACCTGCCAGATTCTGTCCTGCTGGAGGTTTTCTCTTACCTCCCCGTCCGGGACCGGATCCGCATCTCGAGGTGTGGCCCTGCCCGGCGGGAGGGAAGGAGAGGGAGGGGGGCGCACCTGGAGATATATACCGGTCCCGGCGGGGCCATGGTCCTTCTAACGGCGCGTCCCCTCCCCCAGGGTCTGTCGCCACTGGAAGAGGCTGGTGGATGACCAGTGGCTGTGGCGACACGTCGACCTGACGCTCTATACGGTATGTGGGGCTGCCTGGGCGGGAGGAGCACCCCTGCAACCCTGGGATTCAGGCTTGGATGTGGGAGACGGGCTCATCCCGGCTCCATCGCTTAACTGCTGCTCGGCGAGCTCGGGCAGGTTACCTAGCTCCTCTAGGCCTCAATTTCCCCAGCTCCCAAAATGGCCATAAAGGCCACGGGACTATGGTGGGGATTCACCAGGATCCTACAGGGACAGGGCTTAGAACAGTGTCTGTTACGTAGTCAGCATGCGATAAAGAACATTAGCGCTGGGCTGCTAATCAAAACGATGGAGGTTCCAGTCTACCCTGGAGCTTCTGGGAAGAAAGTTCTGGCGAGCTCCTTCCGAAAAATCAGCCATTGAAAACTCCGTGGAGCACAGTTCTGCTGTGACACGCATGGGGTCACCATGAGTTGGAATCGATTCTGGGACAACTGGTGGTAATGCATGCTTACATTATAACTAAACTCAAAAACCCAAATTCACTGCCATTGAGTTGATTCCGACTCATAATGGACCCCCATTGGGTTTCTGAGGCTGTAAATCTTTACGGAAGTAGCTTGCTCCATCTTTCTTCTCCAGAGTAGCTGGTGGATTTGAACCGCTGAACATTCTGGTTAGCAGCCAAATGCCTTATCCACTACGCCACCAGAGCTCTTTACGTTATGCATAAATCATATTACAGAGTCAACTTCCAGAATTGTCAGAATAGTGCAGTGTAACCATTCCCATGTTCTCTCATTAACATTTTGATTTATTTATTATGAAATATTTCAAATATTCAGAAATACGTACAGGATATATAGACTAACAAGTGACCCACATACTTACTACTTAGATTTAACTTAGGTCATGTTGTCAGAAGGGACCATTCTCTGGAGAAGGTTATATTACTTGGTAGAGTGGAGGGTCAGCGAAAAGGGGGAAGGCCCTCAACTAGCTGGATTGGCACAGTGGCTGCAACCATGGGCTCCAGGAATAGTGAGGATTGTGAGGCTGGTGCAGGACCGGGCATTGTTTATTCTGTTGTGCATAGGCTCGCTGTGAGTCGGCGCTGACTCGACGGCACCTAACAACAACAGATTTAACGTATTTTAATCTTTGGCCTTATTTGCTGCAGATCATACATACATGTGTGTTAAAACCAAAAACCAAACTCACTGCTGTCGAGTCGGATCTGACTCATAGCAACCCCTTCTTGGGTTTCTGAGGTGGTATCACTACGGAAGTAGGTTGCCCAACCTTCCTTCCGAGGAGTGGCTGGTGAGTTTGAACCACCAGCCTTCTGGTTAGCAGTCAAATGCCTTAGGCATATGTGTGTATGTGTGTGTGTGTGCGCGCGCCCATAAACAGTGAAAACTGTAAGAGCTGAAACTCAAAGGGACTGTCTCAGAAGTCCCTTTGACAGCATGCAGTGCTACCACTTTTCTGTTGCTTGTTTTAGTGGAAAATAGTTGAGTGTTTCTGCTCTGACAGGATTCTGCCTTCCACAGGCCCTGGAATTGGAACTTCTAGCCTCCTAAAGGGAGTTCTGGTAGCATAGTGCCTAAGGCACTTCACTGCTAACCAGAAGGCTGGTGGTTCAAACTCACTAGCCACTCCTCAGAAGGAAGGTTGGGCAATCTACTTCCGTAGTGATCCTGTCTTGGAAACCCAAGGAGGGGTTGCTATGAGTTGGGTCCTACTCGAGGGCATATAACAACAACAACAAAGTGTGAGAAAATAAATTTCTTTCAGTTAAAAGCCACCCATTTGTGGTATTCCTGAATTTCTGATATAGTACCACTAGGTAAGTAAAGTTACGTGTGGCTGTTTACTATTGCAAATTTGGTATTTAGTTAAAACGCAGATTCTGATTCAGTCTGCAGTAGGGCCCCTGTGGTTAGGTGCTGTCCTGGTTCCCCAGTGCCGCTCTGACAGGAATATACCACAAATGCGATGCTTGAACAAACGAGTTTATTCTCTTACAGTTTGGAGGCTTTAAGTCTGAGTTCAAAGTGCCAGGCCCTAGGGGCTGGGTAAGAACCCCTCAATCTTGGGCTTCAGCTCTGCCTCCTGCTCCCAGCCCACTGGAGCTAGAGGCTTTTCTTCACTCAGGCAGCTGCTGGCTGCTGAGACTGACAAGCCCAAGGTTGACGTAAAAAGGCACAGTCCAGTATTATCAAAGCACACGGCAGGTCATTGATTCAAGTCCATCGAAAGTCCCAAGGTCGGCAGAGCATGGCAGGCAGCTGAACCACAACACGGCTACATGCAGGGTTCAAGCGTGCCATAAGCTAGAGACCATTCCCAAAGCTGTTTGTTATATACGGGAAGCAGACCACTTCCCTAAAGCAACTGCTCAGCTGCTCCAATAGATTCCACCATGGAGTAATTAACAATCTCACCATGAGGAGTAACTACATTCAGCTGCCCAGCCACTCAACCAGGCCCAGCCAACTTGACACACAAACTTACCACCACAAGTGCTAAGGGTCGATTCCAACTCATAGGAACCCTGTATACAACAGAACAAAACGTTGCCCATTCTTGTGCTATCCTCGCAGTCTCTGCGATGCTTGAGCCCGTTATTACAACCTCTGTCAGTCCATCTCATTGAAGGTCTTCCTCTTTTCGCTTACCCTCTACTTCACCAAGCATGATGTGTCCCCCAGGAACTGATCCTTCCTGGTAGCATGTTCAAAGTACATGAGACAAAGTCTCATCCTTGCTTCTAAGGCGCATTCTGGCTGTACTTCTTCCAAGATAAATTTATTCATTCTTCTGGCAGTCTGTGGTATATTCAGTATTCTTCGCCAATACCATCATTCACATGCATCAACTTTTCAGGCTTCCTTATTCGTTCTCCAGCTTTCCCATGCATATGAGGTGATTGAAAATAACATCTGTGGCCTGGGTGAGGCACACCTTACTCCTTGCAGTGACATCTTTACGTTCTCACACTTTAAAGAGGTGTTTTGCAATAGATTTGCAGTGTAATCTCTTGATTACCATGGGTGTTGATTGTGGATCCAAGTAAAATGAAATCCTTGACAACTTCAATCTTTTTTGTTTATCATGATGTTGCTTATTGGTCCAGTTGTGAGGATTTTTGTTTTCTTTATGTTGAGGTGTAATCCATACTGCAGACTGTAGTCTTTAATCTTCATCAGTAAGTGC